TCTCTCTCTCTCTCTCTCGTGTATTTGCATATGACATACAAAGCTTATCAAGGACAGGTCAACTGCCATTCAAAACCTGGTGTTCTCTCTGTTGTAATGCTAAGGTGAAGCTGCTCCTCATTCATTCTTAACTTGCTCTTATGTCATGTCTGTCATGTGCCTTGGTTTATGAGCTTTTTAACATCAGGAAGTTGTTAGGATTTCAACTTTGAGACATTAGTGTAATTACTATAAATAAGTTAACACAGCCTGTGATGTCTGTGCCACTGGGTTGGATTGAGAATCTGGTGCATTGCTTTACAGCACAACCAGATGGGGCTTTATGGCACAAAACAGTAAATGCACACTGTTTGCCCGATTTAAATAGAGCTTCTTTTCTTTTTCTTTTTTTTTGCTTTAATAATTTGAGCACCTTTTCAAGAGCCACTAGTCTACTAGTATGAGCTGACACAGTTGAGAGCCATCTCACGTCAGAGTAGCTCCAGAGTGGAGCATTCAACGTGATTGCAGCTGATAAGACTTCAACAACAAGACATGATCCAAATAATGCAGAGTTACCTGGCTCTGCTGGGGGTGTTTTCAGATAATGATTAGTAAAAGGTTTCCATGTCTAGTGCGTGTGTGTGTTTGAGGTGTGTTCTGCAGTATTTGGCAGCCTTCCATTTAACTATCATTGAGACAATGCATGAGTTCAACCTCAGTGGTTACAAACAATGTGTTTACAAAGAAAAGAAAGGAAAACAGGCAGTAGGTATGGAGCAAGTGAAGGCAGACATACACAATCTGTTTTATTAATATGTTTAATGGAAGTGGTTCTTAGAGTTAGTGTCAGGATGAGTCCAACAGTTCAGTTTACAATCTTAAACAAGAACACATTTTCACACCCTTGCTTCTGGGATTATTCTGGGATGTGAACACGAAAACATTTCAGCCACATTATCGGACATCTCATCAGACTTTGTGTCCTAAATACTAGCTGATACTGGTACGTTTGCCTTTAGGTAGCTCTGTGTGTATCATGTCAATAGCAGCTCTGCCAGTTCGGTTGATACAGCAAGATTATAAAAGGCCGCACACACACACACACACACACCTACTGTACAACACACCATAGTGACACACTCACTGGATAGACTTCCACATGCACTGTATTTATATAGCAACATGAAGGCATGCATTTATACACACACACACACAAACACACACGTATCAGTATATTAAAAATAACCATGACTGTAATTTAAGTATATTCAAGTATTTGAGTGCTCACACACATATGCTCTGAATGCCATCTTAAATTTGGCTTCCATATATACACACTCAAGCCGCCTGTCCATACCAGGCACCACACACACACACACCTTTTTCTCACCGTCACTTACTTTCTACTTTCCCCCCGGCCGTCATTCTGAGCAGCAGTGACTATAATCTTTTCTTTTACTGCGTGTTTGACCTTTGGCTCGTCTCTTTACACACAGAGCTAAGGAATGTCAGCAATGTATAGACCCCCGCTGTCACTATACACATACACACACACACAC